AAAAAAAAAAGTGGTTCTATTGACAATGGTCTGGAATCTCATAAAGCTGCCAACATACCTCTGAAAGCTTTTCCTTAATATTTCAGAATAAACAATGAAAGCATGTGGTCTAACCCTGACTCTTCACCCAGGTACTACTAGATGAGCTCTGCAGAGTGTACCGCGTGTATATTAAGGGAACACTGGAAAACCATGTAATGCACAAACCTTGTCATTATATTAACCCTTCAGTTCCCCACCTTACTGAGTTTCCTTATGTGTAAAAGAAAGGGAAACTTAGTGAAAAAGAGGATAGCGTAGGACCCAACAGGCCTAATTCAAACTTGGATGTAAAAAAGCTTTTCTGTTTTGTAAACTAAACAAAATGCTTCCTCATTTTTAAGAGCAGAAAGTAGCATTTACCTCAAAGCACTGTATGAGGAATAAAAAGTATATAAAATAAAATAATGAAATATACAAATCTGAAAAGTCTATATTACCCCTAACTTCTATTAGGAAATCTAAGGTATATTAATTTCTTTTTTTCTTACTATGTCAATTACAAGAAATACTTGAGAGTTTTGGGGGGAACCTTTTATCCAATAAGGTATTATTCTGGGCAGTACACAGTACTCAAGAGGCAATAGAACTAGGGACTATTTTAAAAAGACAATTCCTAGACAATTGGGATGAAGTCCTGAGTCCTCTTATTATAGAGTAACTAGAGGCCTGGTGCACAAAAATTTGTGCACTCAGCGGGGAGGGAGGGGCCCTCAGCCTGGCCTGTGCCCTCTCGCAGTCTGGGACCCCTCAGGGGATGAACACCTTTTGGCTTAGGCCCGCTCCCCAGGGGATTGTGCCTAAGATGGCAATCAGACATCCCTCTGGCAACCCGGCAGCCCTCGGAGGATGTCCACTTGCCAGCGGGGAGCAGGCCTAAACTGCAGTCGGACATCCTTAGCGCTGCTGAGGAGGCAGGAGAGGCTCCCACCACCACCACTGTACTGGCAGCCATCAGCCTGGCTTGTGGCTGAGGAGAGCTCCTCCCATTTGAGAGCGCCCTGACCACCAGAGGGCAGCTCCTGCATTGAGTGTCTGCCCCCTGGTGGTCAGTGTGTGTCATAGTGACCAGTCATTCCCAGTCCTTCTGCTGTTAGGGTCGGTTTGCATATTACCCTTTTACTATATAGGATAGAGGCCTGGTGCATGGGTGGGGGCCGGTTGGTTTGCCCTGAAGGGTGTCCCAGATCAGGGTGGGGGTCCCGCTTGGGTGCCTGGCCAGCCTGGGTGAGGGGATGATGGCTGTTTGCAGCTGGTCACGCCCCCTTCAGGGTGGGGGTCCCCACTGGGGTGCCTGGCCAGTCTGGGTGAGGGGCTGAGGGCTATTTTCAGGCTGGCGGGTGACTGAAGCTCCCAACCTCTCCTTTTTTTCTTTCTTTTTTTTAATTCTTGGATTTATTTACCTTCTATGGCTGTCACTGGAACTGAGAGCTGGCTTTAGCTCTGAGGCTCGGCTCCAGCTCTTAGACCTCGGCTGTTGAAAGCAGGTATCTGGGTTTGTTTGGCTTCTATAATTGAAACACTGTTGCAACTCCAGCTCTGAGGCCCGGCTGGCTGAAAGCAGGTTTCTGGGGTTTGTTTAGCTTCTATAATTGCAACATTGTTTCTTAGAGTGCAGCTTAGAGGCCGGCAGCAGCAGGCGGGGAACCTTGGCTTCCTCCATCACTGGAACAAGCAAGCCTCCTGTTCGCTTCAGCTGCCTGGCTGCCGGCTGCCATCTTGGTTGGCAGTTAATTTGCATATCTCACTGATTAGCCAATGGGAAGGGTAGCGAAGTTATGGTTAATTACCATGTTTCTCTATTATTAGATAGGATGAGGATGACAGAAGCTCTAAACATGTAATCCTAAGTGTGAATTTGTCTCTATCTTTTACTTACATTTGAAGCAGAGTTTGAGCTGCTGTGAACTTAAATTTTCTCATCTACAGAACTGAAATAATTTTAATAACAGGTTTTCAAGATTAAATGTGATAATGGTATTTGTCACATCAATGCCAGCTAAGTCATTCATCACATTGGAAAAATATACCTTAGAACATGAATAACTAAAAAATATTTGGGCCATTCAGTTACACTCAAGTATAAGAATTAGTTGTCCCCAGAAAGCAGGGCTTCAGTCTATTACAAGAACATTTGCCAGGAATTGTTATAGCCATTCATTTCTTCTTAGAGTAAAATTACCTTTGTTTTTGTAACGATGCAAATATACATATATATGTATATATGATATAATTGTGCATAGATATTTGTTAATTTAGACAATGAATGTGCCTGTAGTCATGTATTAGTATTTATCCTTACACAAAGTATACCTACAAAAACCACTATGACAAATAGCTCATGTGGGGAATACAGAAAGTAAGGACAACCTAGTTTTTCAGGATATGGAGAATGGCAAAGCAAGCAAAATGTTTCCAGTCTCCGTCATGAAAGCTATCCCTAAAGAGCCCCAGTGATTTCCTCAGAAAATGCTCTGCTTGGGGGAAAATATAAAGGCTGGTTTGGGGTCTGATTTTTGAACATGGTTTCACATTAGACTTAGTTGAAGAGAAAGTAGAAAAGAAAGTATCTCAAGAAAATGTCCAATAGAGGAAGGCTAGTTGAAGAGAAAGTAGAAAAGAAAGTATCTCAAGAAAATGTCCAATAGAGGAAGGCTAGACGTAAGAAAATACAGAGGCCAATAATGTAAGAAGTAAGAGAAAGGTCTGAGAGTCACTCACAGGGAATTTAAAAGATGAAAGGATACAATAAAGTACAATTATTGGCAGGAAGGAGAGACTTTGATGAGTTCAGAAGCTGAACTATCAAAAGTTCATCTTAAGCTGTTCTATTAATAGAAAGATATATCAGTCCTCAAAAAAGGTTTCTCTGTAGAAGACAGAAAAAAAGGAACGCCATGCAACTTGTGGGGTTAGAAATGAGAGAATAATGCTTCTACATTGCTCTTCTTCTTCAACCTTCATATTCAATTGAATTACTTTTTATTTTTATTCTTTGATATCTCTATAATCTTTCCGCATCTCACTAGTTGGTGTTTGCACTCTAGTCCAGGCTTCTATCATCTCTTACTAAAATCACTATACCGACCAACTTACTTGTCTTGGGAAGTTCACTGCTCACCTACCAACCCACCCCTGATCTCTTAAATCTCTACTAAACGTAATAGCTATTATGACCTTTTCCAAAGGCAAAGCTAATCATGTAGCCGCACCCTCCTTAGAAGACTTCCTTGGTTCTCACTATTTTCAGTATTAACATAAAAATCAACAACTTATCCCATAAAGGCTGGCATGATTTAGTTTCTATTTCTTTTGTTCCATCAGTTTGTACAACACATCCCTCTCATTCTGGGCTCCATTCTATTCATATACTAGCTCTCCTTCAATTACTTACCCTATAGGAAATATTCCAATATTTGTAAAAATGACAGTTAATTATGATTGATCCTAAAAAATATATGTATTATTAGTGAGAAAATATTATTGCTTAAATTTTGTTTAAGAATTATACATACAATCTGCTAAATGGAATTTAGTCCTTGTGATTTTTTTCAAAGATAAACTCACCAAATTACTCATAGTTACTAATCTGTTATTAGAGACAGAAAATTGTTCCCCCAATTTTTTTGAAGTAGAATCTTTATTACCTTATAAAATTAACAGAGCTTTTGAGGGAATATTTAAAAAGTGTTGGAACAAATTTTTATCAGACTGTCAGTTTTGGGAGGCACCAATGCCCTTTAACTGGTCTCTTGCGATTTGTAATGACCATTACCTAGGCAGTCTTTTAAATCTAATCTAACAATGATTATCTCACTATGTTCCCTGATAAATATTCTGCAAAAGAAGAAATCTTTGCATTCACTTTTTTTTTTGAAAGGTTCTCCTCTTATGGCAATTTTGAAATAAATATTTGAACAAGCTTATAACCAATTCATTCACCTTGCTTTAAGAGTACTAACCTGAGAGCTAGCATAAATAAAAGTGCGTTAGTGGTACTCAAGCCAGCTTTTAGTATTATGTGTGGAAACTCTTGAAAAGCACTGTGGTTTTAAAACCTGTACTTACTGCTTTCTTTAAAAGATTGATTTATTGCTCAAATAAGTTCTAATTTTCAGTATGCTTCAAAGCATAGGAGTTTAAAATATCTATATGGATTACTGATTATCCTGTTCTCCATCCTCCTCCAAATCTCTCTATTATGCTTGGGGACATGAAATTGAAGAGAAACACTTTTTTATTTGTTTGTTTGTTTGTCTTTGTTTTCCCATTTTGCAGTCATAGCAAACAGCAGATGCTCAATTAAGATTCACTCAATAAAGTAATAACTGATCCAGAAATCACAATATACCAAAATTTAAGCAAAGATTAAGATAATTCAATGCTAAATATTTACATTTATATGTATGTCTCACTTCAGCTATGTTTTCTCCTTTGGGAAAAGTTATTATTATTTTTTAATGGCTAATCCAACAATATTTACCGAGAACCTATGATTCAACCTGTTGGGCCGGGAGGTGGATAGGACCAGGTTCCCTATCTCATTTGTGTAGTCTAGTTCTATAGAATGATATGCAAAAGGAAGTTGATAATAAACTTGAGTCAGAGGGGGAAACCAGCCCTTCCCAATAACCTATATTTTTATGCAAATATAACTATGCCCCATTAGCAAATAGGAGTCTTTTAACCTGTTTATTTAGAAATCTGTACATTTTAAGGAGATCTGTTCTGGAACTTTTTCTTCTTGTGAAACTAGATTTGTAGTTATCACACTATGTGCAACATAATTATAACATCCCACGATTGTTAGGACACAGCATGTTATTACATCTCTGAATAATCAGTTCCAACTTAATTAACAACATAGAATTGGATAATAGGAAAAGAGCACAAAAGAGCCTTGTGCTAATTGCTAAGTGAATAACACATTTTTTAAAAATTGTAACGTGAAAATGTTTTACCTCTTGAAATAACAGTTTCTAGTCCAGTTCCATTAATAAAAGCACGTTTAATGGTTTGTGTTTTAATATCTGTCCAGTATAAACGTTCTTCAGATGCATCGAAGTCTATCACAGTAACATCATCAATATCAGGGACCGTAAATGCCGTGATAAAGTTAAAATACGGGTTGTCAATATCCACTCCTCTGATCTCAGAACGCCTTGCGTAAAGAAGAAATTTTTTCATTTCTAGAAAAGAAACAGAAATAAGTGCTTTTCTCTTATAAGCTTGGCAAGTTTGAAGCAGTCTTGGAATTCTAAAATAGTACTTGATGATTTAATAGGTTTTTAAAACCATATAACCATAATCATGATCTGATGGAAATATTAAAGCAGAAATGATTTACCTATTTTTAAATTAAAGTACTTAATAGAAACAAATGTAAAATAAGTTAAGTCATCATTTTTCTTGAGTTGGAAATGCCAATAAATTCTCAATAACTGATTTGACTTTACAATTTCAAACAAACTTACTAAAATGCATGAACTCTACAATTGTTAAACAATCATTTTATCTTTATGTATAATTATACAAATATTGCATTGCATTAAATGGTTTTTGAAAGAATCTAAGAACATTTTTGCTATATTATTATTGAATGGAAGAAATTAAACATGACTTTTAAAAATCATGTTTAAATTTTCCCTCTCAAAATTAAGGTTCAAATAATGTTAACACATGCTTTGTTACAAGTTTCTGTAAATCTGTAGTACTAATATTGTGAGGCATTGTATCATTTTTACTTCCATAGGCACCAATCGGGCACTGAATCTGTGAAATATTAGTCGATTAAGTAGAAAGAGGAGTCACAGATATTTTATTCTTTTGTTGTTGGCTGTGGGGTTATTGTTGTTATTTGAGACATGTTATTTATAATAATAAAAGCATAATATGCTAATTAGAACAGATGTCCTTCCAGATGAAGCCAGGGCTGCAAGGGAAGCCTGGGTCTGGGTGCCAGAGGAAAGCTGGTGCAGGCAACCAGGGGGAGGAAGGCCTACTCTTGCACAAATTTCTTGCATCGGGCCTCTAGTAACTGTATAAAATCAATTAAATCCACATTTGCCTAAATTCCTGAATTAAGGTTTTGTGAGGACATTCTTGCCATCCTTGAAAGTAATTGCTTTGCAAATAAATGGATAAATTAACCAAAATTAAAGTAAAACAAACCAGAAAAAAACACCACAGTATAATTTTCATTCACACATTTTATTACCTTTTTATGGGTTTGTTTAAATATTTTTAGAAACCTTTTAAAGTTATATATTTTACTTCATTTCCCCCCTTCCGGTTAATAATCCCCACAAAATGACGCAAAAGTGACTGCAGAGGAGCAGGCGGAGATCAGCGCTGCCATGTGCCTCTTGTTATGCAGGTTCCTGACATCATCATTTTCTGATAACGCACTTTCACATACATAGCTCCCTGCTTTGTAGAGATAAATTCTGCTAACACACCAAATGCGAAAGTTGCAAGAAAAAATGAATAAGGTACTAAACAGCAAAGTGCGGAGCATCACGTATTTTAAGAATGTGTCCCTCTCCCCAAAAGTAGATGAATCATCAACGGTCTAGAAATAGACCACCCCGCATGTTTCTAAGGACATTAAAAACTTCTTCTGCTTTACCTTGAGGGAAATGTAAATGCTAATACACTTTGAGAGAATTCCATTTGAGTTTTAGTTCAGAACTTTA